GTAAGTACAATATATATCATTTCTTCACGTTATCTTACTACAATCATATTTTACAGTTGTTTACACACTTTTCGGTTTCGAGGAAGTTGTGATACTAAGACTTAATCGTTGCTGTTCCTTGATGATCAAAGCTCTGTTAATCTACTCCATGTTACTCAGAATTTGACAGAAATAGCTTTAAGTAAATTCCTTCAAGATTCCATCGATCAGCGTTGCCCTAAGCTTTTTTATTTTGCACAAATGTACTTCCTGTTATTGTTGCTGCTGTTAAGTTTAGTTCTATTAAGCTTCAGTCGAGTAGACTGAGGAGTTATGCATCACAAGACCATTGTGAGCCATTCTGCATTGCAGTTTCCTCAAGATTCGCCTTTCCTAATTATTTCACTAAGAGCGTAAGACCACATCAGCAAAGATTTAGCCATGAGGCGAGGCAGAGAGGAATTCAAAGGAGTTTTCTCCCTGCGGCTATTTTCGTTCTCCTTCAGCCATGGTTCTATATTACAGCGAACGGTTGATGCCTGAATTCGGTCACGTTTGGTTATCGTATGAGATTACTGTATACGGAATACTCGAATTAGAGAGCTCCAAAGCTAGATGAGGGAAACCTAAAATGCTGGTTTGAGAATTTAATTGCAGGTTTTGACTCATAAGTTTACTAAATTGTACAACATTCAACCGATTGGAACATTCTCGAACAGAAAATCCATCGTAAGGGGATTCTATTACGTAATTTTGATTAACTTGTTTATTTCTTTACCAACGATTTCCGGTTGTCTCTCTCTCTATATATTGCCTGTTAAGTCTTTATCCTCCTCATAGCGACGTAAAACCCTCCATAATACATTACAAAATAATAAAATCAACAATATGATTTTTATCTCCTTTCACCTTCCATTTTCTGAGACTTTTTAAGCTTTTATTCCGACTTCTTTTTCAGTAAGTGTCTTAAGACTACAGGCTCACTATATACTTTATCCACTCACCTGCTAATACCAAAAATTGTTTTCTTGCAAAGTGTTTATCTTAAGAATTCAACCATGCCCATGCATTTCCGCAGTGGCGGATCCAGGGGGAGGGTCCGAGGGAACCCGTGTTGCAAATTTATTCGAAAAGAAATGCAGCGATAATTCACCGTTGTCCGCTAATTTTTTTCTAAATTAGTCTGCAGAGGCATAACTTTGCTTGTTTTTAATATTTTAATACTTTGAAAGACCATTAAAAAACAATTCTACCAGCCCTCAATTTTACCAGCTCTCCACACATATGCTGTTTTAACGTTGTGACTTGGAAAAACGCCTAGCCGGTCAGCGAAAGGTGAAGGTCGCGAAACAGAAAATAGGTCAGCTCTTAAGGGCGATCTTAACTGCTGGTAAATAATTCTAAAATAAAAGTTCCCTTGGTGCAGCCATCTCCGGCTACAGCAGCGAGACTATTCTCGATACCTAAAAGGTTGTTTCACAAACCCTTGACTAAGGCGTTTGAGATGTACTTGAGGGTGTCCCTCTCAGCAACGCACTCTCTTTCTACCGAACTACTGGCTCCGGTTGTTCAAAGGCTGGATAGCGCCATCCACTAGATAAAACTCTATCCGGTGGGTAACGCTATACATTTTGCTATCGCTTATCCGCCGGATAACGATTTATCCGTAGGATAGCGTTATCCGGCCTTTATTACACGCCTCGGGCAGGCAGAGGGCCAATAACTGAAATCAATCAATCAAAATGCTCTATTGCCGGGCAATATTCTCTCAGTATTGGACCGGGCACTTTCCCGAATGCTCCCGAATGATACCGCACTTGTGTCCCTTTGAACTTCAGTCGTATAATAAATCTCTTATTAGCCAAGCTTGCTCGGGACCCTACCGGAAGAATATCGGCCCTCGGTCTTTTTTGTACGAACCTCGCTGCGCTCGGGCGTAGTGTCAAGACCTCGGACCGATATTCTCCCAGTACGGCCCTCGCGCTTGGTTAATAAGATATATTTATACAACTGGACCCTGGTATTTAATTGAATTGGATATCTAACATTAGACGCTGTTCTTTAAATTCTTCATAAAAATGTTTTTAAGGGTTCCTCTATGAAAACAAAACAANACCCAACCGCGTGCTCTCGACGAAACTGTTACTTAAACATGTCAACGACGATACGAATTGGTCACACAATACTGAGTCACGCAATAGTGTTCGTTCCGATAACAGAAGTTAGTCGGGACAACCCACGGCTTGTCCAGTCAGAATCTACACTGCAATTGCGATTGTTTTTTTGTTTTGTTTTGTTTTGTTTTTTTTGCTATTTTGTTTTTGCTCTTCTTCTTAAGAATCCTTTTGGGGAGTTAAAGAAACGGGAATTCAAATCAAGGGGATGAGTTCGTCTTCTCTAACATCTCATTCTCATACGCGGATTTTTGATAACCTGTTATTTTTTAATGCGCTAGAGCAGTCAACTTTCAGCCGTAAGCTATTGTAACAGCAATCTTAATATGAGATAAACACTCAACTGTTTGTACTGGCTCCCTGTCTATGCAAAGCAAAGTGATTCGACTGAAGAAAGCTCAGATGAGCCATTTCTGTGGTGAAAAAATTTAAAATTTCGTGTTTTTCTCACAAAGGACCAGTTGTAAAACTTCCAAAGTCGTTCAAGCCAAATATGGCCTCTTCTGTGGAATACAGAGAGGAGCAACTAAACTACTACAGGATCTGTTACGTTACCACTGACATCCTGACCGAAGGTCTGCGAGAAATCTTCAAACAAGAATGGGACAATCGCTACAAAGCTACGTCGGGAGAGTGGAAAGATTCACTGAAAAACGGACTGGACTTTCGCAACGGCGAGTCGCCAAAGAACCAAAAGAAGCATGCTCGTTTATTAACAACCATGACTAAAGGCAACAGAGCTGACTGGGATTGTACCATGTTGTTTTACGCCATTCTTTACTCCGATTGCATCCATAGTCTCAATGCAGTCGTTAGGTCAAATGTGGACAACCTCAGGCTGTTTCGGAACGAAGAGTTCACGCATATCGCACGAGGTCACCTCTCTGACGTAGAGTTTCAGAGTGCTATTAGCAAAGTAGAGAATGCATTCCAAGCTCTCGGTCTTTCCACTGTGGAAATTCAAGACCTTAAAACCCAAAAATGTTTTCCAACAGAGCAGCTGAGACGTGTTTTGAAGAAAGTGGACGACCTTAAACAGGAAGTTCAGGAGAAAGAAAAAGAAGTTCAGGAGAAAGACAAGAAGCTACACGAGACAGGAAAGGAACTTCGCGAAAAAGAAGAACAAAGACAGACTCTTGAAGAACAGTTAAACAGCGATGCTCCTTCATTTTGCATTCTTCCTCCCAAGCCCTCTCATCATGTCGCAGATCGAGATTCTGATGTGTCTGAGATTATACAAAAGCTAAAAGAGTTGAAAAGGTGCACAAGATTAAGTTACCTGTATATATCGGGTAATCCTGGAAGTGGTAAATCGCAGATAGCATCGCTCGTAGGAAAGCGTTTTTTTGACGAAGTCACTGAAGAAATTCCATCTACTGCATTCTTTGTGATGACCCTGAATGCTGGACACTCTAAAACACTTTTGGAATCGTATGTCTCTTTCGCTCGCCATCTGAAGTGCCCAGAATACGCAGTTACCAACACATTTACCTCAAAAGATTTGAGTACAATTGAGAAGATCAGAAGTCTCAAAACATTGATCAGCCCAAAAATTGAACTGTACTCATCGTGGCTACTGATAGTTGATAACATCACCAGCATGTCTCATCTGGATTGTAATTTACCTGATACAGGAAATGGGCAGTGGGCAAGGGGCCAGTTGCTGATAACGACACAGGATACTGCGGCTCTACCACTGTCAGGCTCATTTATCCAACATATCTCAGTCAGCAAAGGTATGGACCCTCATGAAGCCCGCTCTCTTTTAGAAATCCTTTCTGGAGTTACTGACCCCGAGATGGAGAAAGTTTGTCAGGTTTTAGACTACCAACCACTTGCCCTTGCAAGCGCTGCCACTTATGTAAGAGAAGTAAGAAAAACTGGATTATCTTCGAGTTTTGGTTTTATTGACTTTTTAAAGAAACTAAACCAAGGGAAGAGAAGTACAACAGAAGCCATGCTTACTGAAACCAACCCAAGTTACAAAAACTCCATGACTGCTGCTACAACACTTGCTGTTGAGAAGGCGATCGCAACAGATAAGGTTTTGGAGCACACTTTTAATTTTCTCTCTGTCTGTGCACCACACCCTTTGAGTATAGAAATTGTTGTTAATTACGTGAGGAAAGTGGATCAAGAGCTTAAAGATCCTGAAATGCTTGCCACGAGAATTCGGAAATGCTCTTTGCTGTTATTTGAAAAAGATAACAGTGGCGTTTACATTCGAGTGCATCAGATTGTCCATGACGTCATCGGGGTCATTATCAAAACTGTCGCAAAAAGCAAAGTCGAG